TGAATACAGAGGCAAAGAAAGCATTGAGTACTTCAGCCTTCCCCACATCATCTGTAACTAGGTTACCTCCTTCATCCATTAGGGGCCGCACACCCTCTCTGATTACCTTCATCTTGTTAACATGCTTGTAGAAACCTTTCTTGTTATCCTTCACAGCCTTAGCTAGTCGCAGTTTCATTTGTGCTTTCGCCTTCCTAATAACCCCCCGGCATTCTCGAGCTATACATTTAAACCCCTCCGTGGTCATTTGTCTAAGTTTCCACTTTTTGTAAGCTTCCTTTTTGTGCTTAAGTTCACCAAGGATTTCTCCTGAAAGCCAATCCGGTCTCCTACCTTGTTTGCCTCTCTTGCTATGCGTCGGGATGGTTTCTTTCTGTGCCTTTAATAAGGCTTCTTTACAATACTGCCAGCTGCCCTGGACTCCTTTCCCCTTTATGTTAGCATCCCAGGGGATTCTGCCCATCAGGTGTCTGAGGGAGTCAAAATCTGCTTTTTTGAAGCCCAAAGTGCGTATTTTACTACTCTCTTTTTTTCTTTTGGTCAGGATCCTGAAATCTACCATCTCATGATCACTGCTTCCCAGGTTGTCACCCACCTCTACTTCCCCTATTAGTTCCTCCCTGTTTATGAGCAGAAGGTCAAGCTGCTTACGGCCCCTGGTCGGATCCTTCAGCACTTGTGTCAAGAAGTAATCCCCAACATTCTCCAAAAACTTCCTGGATTGCCTGTGTACTGCCGTATTGGTTTCCTAACAGATGTCAGGGTGATTAAAGTCCCCCACAAGAACCAGGGCCTGTGATATGGAAGCTTCTTTCAGTTGTCCGAAGAAAGCCTCATCTACCTCATCCACCTGATTTGGTGGCCCGTAGCAGTCACCAACCTCAATATCACTGCTGTTGTTTGCTCCTTTAAACTTAACCCATATACTCTCAACAGGTTTTTCTCCCTCTCTGTACTGGAGTTCAGAGCAATCATAGTGCTCTCTTACATATAGTGCAACTTCTCCTCCTTTTCTCCCCTGCCTGTTCTTCCTGAACAGTCTATACCCTTCCATGGCAGTGCTCCAGTCATGCGAGTTATCCCACCAAGTCTCTGTTATCCCAATTAAATCATATTTCTTGGACTGGGCCAGGGCTAACCAGTTGATGGCCCTATCTTCTCCATTCGAATCAGGGGTCCTCCTTTCTTGCTCGTTCCTCTCTGCATTTCTTCCCGGTATCCGACTTTCCCACTTCCCTCAGGGTTTTCATCACTGTCCCTCGACGAACCTATGTTTGCAAGCCTGCTCCTTCCTCTCTTCATTAGGTGGATCCCACCTTTTCCTAACAATCCTTGTGCCTGGAACAGAATCTCATGGTCAAAGAAACCAAAGCCCTCTCTGCGACATAACCTGCGCAACAAGGCATTTATGTCCTCAATTCGACGATCCCTGCCCAGTCCTTTCCCTTCAACAGGGAGGACGAGAACAGCAGTTGTGCTCTGAGTTCTTGGATCCTTCTTCCCAGCACTTACATAATCTTCAGTAACCCGTTCAAGGTCATTCTTGACCATATTGTTAGTTCACATGTGGAGAAGCAGGAAGGGGTAGCGATCTGAAGGTTTGATCAGTTTGGTAAGCCTCTCAGTCACATCCTGAATGTGAGCTCCCGGTAAGCAGCACACCTCTCGAGATTCCAGGTCCAGACGGCAGATGGATGGCTTAGTCCCTCTTAGGAGGGAGTCCCTGACCACCACCACCCATTGTTTTCTTTTGGGGGAGGGGTGGCCGTGGAACCCCCATCCCTAGGACTACGCATCCCATGCCTCCCAGTAGATAGTGTTCCCTTCCGATTTCTTCCTTGTGAGGTCTCTTCCTAAGCATTCAGCACTTGAACCCATGAAGAGCAATGAAAGCATTTACTTACCTCTGTAGGAATGGGGGATTCTTGTGCTGGCCTTTTTTTCCTTCGAGAAGTTACATGCTGCCAGTTCTCCTCTTCTGCCTGCCGTGCTTGAAGGATTAAACACTGCCTTCTATCAAGGAAGTCCTTCATCCTCTCTGATCGAGCATAGGGGCAACACTCGGGCCTCCAGTCCTCTAATTTTTTCTTCCAAAATGGTGACCAGCTTGCAGATTAAATCTATTCTTTCTTCTGGGAGGAAGACAAACATGGCACACGCTGTGCAGCTAACAACAGCAGACCTGTCACCATCCATCGCTGCTGTCCTGGAGAAGGGATTTAAAAAGAAAGGCAAGAGAACCTCACGTCCTTCCCAACTCCCTCTCTAAACTTCCTGTTAGCACTCACCTGTTTGCAAGCTCCTTGGTCGCTTGCCCACTGCTTTATAAAGCCCTGGAGTGCCTGAAAGTCCCTCCCCCTACCAAGGCTCAGCCAATCAGCAGAGGCTTCTAGAATTCAAACTTTAAAAAGAAGCCAACAGTTTCCACCTGCCAATCACAGCACACACTCCATAAAGGGGAGGTGGAGGGAAAAGGGGAAGTGGGAAAAAAAGCCTCACTCACAGACACAGGGGAAAAAACAAACAAAAACAAAAAAAGAACATCACTCACAAACCATCACTCACAAACACAAGCTCAGCACACAGTAAGAAAGCCCCAAACACAATACACACTTCCCTCAAGAGTCCTGTATCTGCTTCTCCTCTACCTGGAGAACTCCCTCTCTAAAGCCTCACTCAAGAAGAAGAAGAAGAAGAAACCACCACCACACACCAACCCTCACTCACAAATACAAGCTCAGCACACAGTAAGAAAGCCCCAATAACAACACATACTTCCCTCAAGTGTTCTGAATCTATTTATCCTTTACCTGGAGAACTCCCTCTCTAAACTCCCTGTTAGCATTCACCTGTTCGCAAGTTATATTCCATAGTATCAACTTCCACTACCTTTCATTTGTTACACATTTTTATAGTTATCTTCACTCCCTTCTAAACCAATTTTTTAACCAATATAGTCATCTCCTTTAATTGTGAGATTGTGGCTCTTAAGTGCTGTAAAGTGTTCTTAAACAATTCCCAATTATAATCCACATTTTTTCTGATTAAATGCTTATTCTCAGCTGATTTGTGTCTCAATTGTTTTTCATTTTGTAAAACTGACCCCTTTAAAGCAATACATATTATTGATCTGGACTTTTATTCTAATTGCAGATTTTAAATGTGATTGACTCATGATGGCTTATGCCTAAGTTCCCATCGTTTTTTAGTTCTGTAATCAGTTTATCTTTAATAATAGTCAAGATGAGTTTTAATAAAGAATTCCCCCAGTGTTGAATGCAACACTTTTTGAATGAGAAAATTGTCATCTGTAAAATTTAGAAATTCCATAAATATTTCAGTACTGGCAGTATGAGAGCTCCAACACATGTCTCACAAATTGAAGTTCCTCATGATCATTCATCTCGAGGATATTCTACACATTATAGATAGGTGTGAAAGGAGATCATTCTATTCCCTATGATCTGGTGGTCTGCAGCAAGCATTAACTACTACCTTATTTTGTGATTTGTTTCCTAGATCATTGATCCATAAGCAAATAAGGATAATTTTCTCCTTATCTATCAATAACTAGGAAACAGCTAAAGTCATAGTTGACAGAGTGCTACTCCTTCTCTCTTTGCCCTCTTGATTCTTCCTAAATAGGTTATAACCATTGATTTTTAACAATCCAATCACGGGAATCATCTGAGCACAATACAGTAATACGAAAAGGACTGAATTTGTGTCATGATTCCTGGAAGACTTATGAAGTAAATGGACAAGAATCTCTGGGGATATGTCTACACTACAGATTTTTTTTCAGAAAAACTGAAGTTTTTCCGAAAAAAAACTTTAATTACATCCACACTGCAATAACATTCTTCTAAAAGAAAATCAAAAGAACAGAGGGGGTTTTCTGGCATTCATAATCTTCTTTCTACGAGGAAGAAGCCTCTTTCTGAAAGAGTTCTTTTGGAAAAAGGCGAGTGTGGACGAGGAAGAGGGAGTTCTTTCAGAAGAAGAGGAAAGAGGAAAAAGCACAGGTGCCCTGGTGGCCACTCCATCCATAGTAATCACAGTTTAAATGCAAGATAGCGTCCATTCAGTGTGGATGCTATCTTTTGAAAAAGCACTTTGGTAGTGTGGACACACTCTTTTGGAAGAAATTTTTTCGGAAAATCTCTTTAGGAAAAGCTTCTTACAAAAGCCTGCAGTCTAGACGTAGCCTTGGTGATTGTTTATATCAACACTAAAGATGTGCCACAGGATATCCCACAGATCATTGATGATTTTAGGGAAATCAGAGGTTTCCTGAAGAAGAACAATGTCCAAACAATTGTCTCTGAGATCCTTCCTGTCCCATGAGCAAAGGAAGACAGCAAATTCTGAAAGTGACCTGCTGGATAAATATGTGCAATATGGTTTTGTTTGTTAGGAACTTTGGTTCACTCTCTGTGACTGCCTGTAAGATGGGGACTTGGCTTTGTAACTGCTAATGCACTTAAGATTTTTATTTAGACAAGATAACTCAGCCCAAAGATTTAAAAAAAATAGTTTACTTTTTAACTGCATTAATGGAGTTTTGCTTAGAATTAGACTTCACTGTAACTTTTTAATTCTTTGCATTTAATCATTTGTTTGAATCCTTCCAGGCTTCCTCTTTCTACACAGATGTCAGCAGATGTCCTTGCTCCTGCTTCTGTTATGTCTGATGTGCTCGAGCCTATTGTGCCTTCCTTGAGTTCTCCTGAGTTGCCAACAGTGTGCCAGGAGAATTTGTGCCACAATGGAGGAACTTGCAATCACATCCAGCTGCCTACTGGGGCCACATCATTTCAGTGTGACTGCCCTTTACATTTCACTGGGCGCTTCTGTGAAAAAGGTAATTGTGCTTCATTTTTTTTCTATATTCATGTTTAAGTTAGTGTTCTGTTTCATTAGAGCAGGAAAAAAGGAAAAGAAAGGGAATAACATTTTTCCTGCTTTTGATTTCATTTGTTCACACTAAATCAGGAGTAAGTTCACTGGAATAAGTGGAATTTCATCCATTTGAAGCTCAATACTGCTAAGTTCAGAAGCAGATACATTAATAACACTTGCAGAATAGAATAAATAAAGTACCCTGTGGAATACAAACAGTCAGTGAACATTAACCATCTTAGGAAGAGAAAAAATGCTAGCCATGCAAAGGAAGAGAAATGTTTGTATCTCCTTAAAAGTAGCAAGCATTTCAGTTCAATAAAATGCAAGAGTTGCTCCCAATTTTTCTTAGGCTAGACAGTTTTACTCTTTCTAAATTTCTGTCTGACTTTCATTTAATTGTATGGAACTAATGTTGACCTTTAAAATATTTTTTTCCTGCATTTTGTTTAAACCCTATACAACAGTGTTATTTTGGAATAACTCATGTTATTCCGAAATAACATAATGGCTACGTCTACACTGGCCCCTTTTCCGGAAGGGGCATGTAAATTTCACTAGTCGTCATAGGGAAATCCGCGGGGGATTTAAATATCCCCCGCGGCATTTAAATAAAAATGTCCGCCGCTTTTTTCCGGCTTTTAAAAAAGCCGGAAAAGAGCGTCTATAAAGTTCATGATTAAGGGCACTTTTTCCGGAGGATCGGGGCCAGTCTAGACGCTCTTTTCCGGCTTTTTTAAAAGCCGGAAAAAAGCGGCGGACATTTTTATTTAAATGCCGCGGGGGATATTTAAATCCCCCGCGGATTTCCCTACGACGACTAGTGAAATTTACATGCCCCTTCCGGAAAAGGGGCCAGTGTAGACGTAGCCATTCTGTTTCTACACTACAAGCAGTTATTTCAACATAATATCGAAGCAAGTCAAGCTGGAGGACTTCTTACTCCAACTCCTGCAGGCCTCATTTTATGAGGAGTAAGGGAAGTCGATGGAAGAGTGCTCTTTCTCAGACATCCTGCTATGTAGACAGTGCTAAAAGTTGAAATGAGATATTTTAACTTAAACTACATATAATATAATTTATGTAGCTGAAGTTGTGAAGCTTATTTCAGCTTTAGCCTTTCTGCATAAATGTGTCCTTATTGAATTACTGCTGTATTTGGATGCTGATATTACACAGACAGCTCAAAGAAGCATATTTTACTTAGCTTTGAAGTTAGATAAAATTACTTATCTGAATAACTTTGATTTTCTTGAAAAAATTATGAATGAAAGACAAAGTGGTCAGCAGCTATTACCTTTTATGTTTGCAATGAACACTTATGCTATTACTTTTCAGAATCTTGATTTTCTTAATGTGTAGCATAGGAGATGTAAAATATTCTTTTAATGTGTAAGGTATAATTACCTCTCAATAGTGGTGGATAATTCCCATTAGCACTAATGGGAATTACTTGTGCATAGATAAAGGAGAGTATGCCCCCATTTATAATTAAAGGTCTAATATTCTTCTAATAGACTTTCCATTGTATGAAATAATACCACAAATCTAGAGCCAAAAATGCACTTTACAGATTGTCAATATATATGAAGGTAATGAAACTAACCTTCATCACCTCTTTCACTGGCTGAAAGTAGGTCATTGTATCATATGTGAAGCCAATCGATGACTCTAAATTAGAAAAAATGACTGCAATGTGTGATGCTTTGGATTTCATAGAATATTTCATTATTTCTTGTCCCTTTCTCAAGTTTGTAATAAACTAAATCATACTCTTTTTCATTCAAATTGTAAGTATTAACACTCAGCTGTGGGAATATATGGTATATATTTATTATCTAGAAATATGTTGTATAATTGTTCCTGAATGAATCAGAGTTATATAAGTTGTGCTGTCAACTACCTGGTTTAGAAATGTTTGTTTCCCAGGGAAGTCCTTCAGACATAACATGTTCAGTGGCAATACAGCATCTTTCTGATGTCTATTTCTGATGGTTATTAGAATTCTAGAGCTGGATTAATCCTCAATGTTGCAGAAAGTACAAATAATAGCCCCTGTTCCAGTGGGAGCTGCTATATCTCAGAGGGGACTCAAGCAGTATTTGGCTTTTCTGGGGGTCCTGACAGAATCAAGTTCTTTAAACTGTAGCTGCATTGCCATCAGTGTCCTCCTAGCAGGACCTTCTCATGGTATATGCTATATGAATGCACTCTATTGCCTAATGCCACCTGCTTCTGGATCTACATTGTCCAGAGTCCATGGAGTAGAAGTTGCTAATGCTTTTTGCTGAGGCCATGTCACCAAGCAACTGGTCTTCCTGCCTCCAGGAGCTGTTTAGCCTAGATTATTTTGGTGATAACTGGTGTAATTCCAAGACTGGGTTAAACTCTGGACTCACTATTTGTCTCATTAAAGTCAATCAGAGTTTTGCCCAGTGATTTGACTGAAAATCAGGTCAATTGACTAGAGAAACCCTTTTTAACAATAATTCCTAAGTAAGATTTTGAAGTAATTTCTGCCTTTTTTCACAGTGTTGATCTTTATTAGTGCAATACAAATAATTTCAGTGTATATACAGGATGAATCAGTCTGTTTTATGTATAGATGTCTCAAGGGAATCACATATTTTAATTCTGTCTGTTAAAGTACAGTTCTCCTTCTATTCCATGTTTTAAAAAGAAGTGCACAAATGTTGAGAATAACAGTGTGAAAATATAGGAACTGTTGCAATTAAACAATAGTATTTAACGATTTCTTTCACAGAGTTGCAGGATATTCCATACTTTGCACAATTCTTCCTCCAAGAAGTGGCTGAAATATCAGATATGATATTTCTTTCTGAGTTTGAATAAGGAGTAAGGAGATAGAGAGATGAGATCCTTTTCTTCACAGAGAATCATACATTTACATTATCATCCACATGGCTTCTGAATATTGAACAGAACATATTAGTCAGCCCTCATTTTACTGTACCTGCTACTTATAGTCTGATCAGGGGTTGAGAAAAGTTAACTCTGAGGGTGTGTCTAAACTGCACTCTTATCTTGAGCTATGCAAATTGTGTAGCTTATTGCAAGTTAATTTCAAAATAGCTTATTTCATTTGGCACTGTCTGCACAGTGCCAAATTTTGAAATAAATGGCTATTCCAAAACATTCCTTAATCCTCGTGGAACGAGGTTTACAGGAACATTGGAATATCATGCCCATTATTTCGAAAGCTATTTTAAAATAATGGGCACCCTGTCAAGATGCGGAATAGCTATTTTGGATACCAGTAGTATCCTGAAATAATGCCACAGTGTAGACGTACCCTATGGGTACATCTAGACTATATCAGTATGTTGGAAAAAAATTACGCAAAATGCACTCCACATTTTGTGTAGCTTTTTATGATACTTTTGTTGGAAGACCCTTTTCTGACATTTGGCCCATCTAGACTGGGCCAAATGTTGGGAAAAAACCCTCTTTCGAAAGCCCCTTCTTCCTCATAGAACGAGAAATATAGGGGCTTCTGAAAGAGAGTGTTTGCTCTTCCACAAAAAAAAGTGGAAGAGAAAACGTATTCCCTGGACGCGGCACAGTTTTTTGGGTATACTGTATCCCAAACCCCCCCCACACAGTTATCCTTACCCTAAGAGATATGTTTTGCTAAAAGCTGGTCATATTTTTTTAAATTAGGGTGTGCTTAATCCAAATGTAGTTCTTCTAGACTATAGATTTTGTATAAAACATTCTACTAAGGGTATGTCTACACCTCAGTGTTATTTCAAAACATCTTATTTCAAAATAGTTATTTCAAAATAGCTTATTTCAAAATAATACGTCTACACACAAAATGCATTTCGAAATAGCATTTTGCTATTTCAAAATAGCACGTCCACACTGATAGGATGCTGAATTGCATTTAAGGGTAGCTGGAACTGGTTCTGGCAAGGCATCAGGTCAGGAGTTACCTTGTGTGGCTACTGCCTGAGGCTATCTGAGACCTGTGCTTAAAGGAACCGCCCCTCTCCTCCCCCACCCCCGGACAGCCAGTTCTAAGGTATCCCTGCTTGCTTGCCTACCTCACTGAGGGACAGCAAAGCATTTTTTTCTCTGTGTACTTTGGGGTTGTCCTCACTCAGGACACCACAGCACTCTGCAGCATGGAGCCAGAGCCACCCCTGGGCACTCTGATATTTTTCCTGGATGTGTTGCTGCGAGCCTGGCAGCACGTTCTGCAGGCAGTAACAGTCTCCCTGGTGTGCTCCACTGGGAGTTTGTGCCTCATTCCTCCCTCACATCCCTCCACTTATCCCTCCCTACCCCCCCTTCCTGTTGTACAATAAAAGACACATGTTCATTACAACAAAGCCCCTTTATTGAACAATACTGGGGTGGGTAAGAATGAAACTCAGGTGAGGCTGGGTAAAGAAAGTGGGAGAGGGGAGGAGGGAGGGTGGGTGGGAGATTGAAAAGCTTCCCATTCATTCTGTAGACAACGTTCACACCATCTGGAAGCTTGCCATCAAGGATATGGAGGGTCATGGTGAAGAAGATGCAGAACAGCACTGAGACAATGATGTAGCCTTGATTGACTCCCATTTTGCTTCGGGATCTATTGTTACTCAGCAATGTGGCAGTCATGTTGTCATGAAGCAGCCTCAGGATGCTGACAAATTTTTGGAGGCAACTGATCTTTGAGAGGATAGTCCACAGGGCACTATGATTGATTTAATTGAATGCTTTGGTCAGGTCAGTGAAACTCATGTATAAGTTTGATTTTGTTCACAACATTTTTCTTGCAATTGCCAAGTGGTGAAAATCATGTCCACTGTTCTTCGGAGTGGTCGGAAGCCACACTGGGACTCTGGAAGAATTTTTTCTGACAGTGGCAAGAGTCAATTGGCAAGGATTCAAGCTAAGATTTTCCCTGCCCTTGCCCTGAGCGAGATGCCATGATAGTTTCCACGATCCGAT